TAACTATTAAATTATTTCCGTTTAAACTTAACTTTTCTTGTCAAGTTTTAAACTAATGGTTACTTTATGCTTAAAAATTTCGAAAATTTCATAGTACATCAAACGTACAAATTATTAATAAAAGTTCTCGATATTATTGTCTTCAGAATAAAGCACATTATTTCGGAATTAGTCTTTTGTTTTATCAATAAATAAATAAGTTTTATTTGTAAGATAACCAGTATGAAGAAAAAATTACTCGATTTGTTTTCAATACCAAGTGTTACAATAGAAATATTGTCGAATATTGGTGTTAACATTGACCTAAATAAGGTATATTCCTTATTATTTCGTTAATTTTAAATATTCAGCTCCCAAAAAAGTGAATTTCTTAAAAATAAAAATAAAAAATATCTCCAAAACCATTGAGAATGGTATAGAGGTAAATGATGTTTAAACGGTAGCAAGTGGGCTCTAATTTCACCTCCTCGAAGGAATACGTCCACTTACCAGTCACCCTGTATATAAGGCGAAAATAGTTTTAAAAAAATTAGATCTGAAAACACCTTGACAAGATTGTAGAGGAGGCATTTTGTGGATAGTTCGAATGACCCTTTTTTGAACAGTAAAAATGTCCTGCACCCCAGAGCTTGCTGCCCAGTAGATTATGCCGTACCTAGCTGTTCCCTCAAAGTTTTGCAAAATACAGAGTTCTTTTTACAGGTTCATCCAAATACCTTGCCACGATACGAATACAGTAACAAACTTTGTTCAGTTTACCTTTTAAATATTCGACATGACTAGATTAGTCTAGAAATTCATCTACATAAATACCCAGAAATTTAGTGCTATTTTTAATTTCAAGATCCATTCCACCCATCGTAATTGATTAGGGTTTTTTAGTGTAATTTAATTTTGTTCTGAATAGTATAGTATAAGTTTTATCTTTATCTAGTAATAATTTATTTTTTTCAAACAAATCATTTACTAAAACAAAAAAGTGATTTGCATTTTGACGGATCTCTGGAATATATGGTGCTCCAACTAGTAAATTTGTGTCATCAGCATATTGAGTCAAATTAAAATAATTTGTATCCATTTCATAAAAGTGTATGTCATTTAAATAAATAATAAACAGATATGGTGCAAGTATACTTCCCTGAGGGACACCCACCGTATTCTGCGCGATTTCCGACTTGTATATGTTCTCATTTCTACATATCGTGGCTCTCTGAGTTCTCTTATTCAGATAAGAGTCAATCCACTTAAAAGCACGTCCCCTTATCCCGTAAAGATTTAATTTCTGGAGAAGTAAGCTTCTGTCCAAGCAATCGAACGCTTTTGACAAATCTAGGGTGACGTGCCGTAAGTTAACCAAGATTCTTGGTTTTTCCGGTTCCCGTTCTGTAACCTAACCACTCCTGAAATCTGGTTAGGTTATGAAACGCGGTTCCTGAAAAATACGGTCTCAACTGTCAACCGAATCTACCGATCAAAAAGTGGTTTTTTCGGTTTGTTTTCAATTTCTGACATTTGTAGCCATCCATTTTGATTATCAGAAAATACATTACAATCATTCATAAAATCCATTATTTTTGTGCACGCGACCATTTCAAACAGCTTGGAGAATCCAGAAAGCAGACTAAATGCTGCTAGTTTTAGACTCTCAGCGCACTCTCTAAGTGAATTATTTACTATGTAACGCAAGACGTCTATGATCGCTGGAATAATCCGACAGATGAGACTTGTAGGTACTTCATCGTCACCAGAGCTATGTTTGTTTTTTATTCTTTTTGTTAGTTCTAAAATTTCTTTGGGATTAACAGGTTTTAAAAATAGAGATCTATCATTTTCTTGAATATTGATTTTGTAATTTACATTGAATTTTCTTCTGTAACTCTGGAATTGCATTAAGTAAAAATGTATTGTAATTGTTCGCAATTTCTGTAGGATTTCCAGCGATCATTGTGTCATTCACCTGTGAGTTGTTTCCAGTTACTTCTTTAAAGATGGACCACATACATTTATTTCTATTCTCCGAATTATTTATTCTTTTTTTATAACTATCAGATCTAGCTTTTAGTAGTAATTGATCATATTCCTTTTTTACAAAGTGAGATTCATTAAAGTTGTTATTTTTGCGTTTTAGCATTAAAAGAATATCTAATCTATTTTTAACGTTTTGTATTTGTTCATTTTTATGATACAATGGCTTGGTTTTCTGCCTTTGACCCATACTGACTAATTTTTTTGGAAAGTTCTCGTTAAAGATTGATAGGAAAGTTTGCATGAAAACATACCATTGCTGATTAACATCGTTCTAATGTGCTTCAAAAACCTCCTCCCATTTTTCTTGAGTTAACAAAGTGAAAAACTCTTGCCTACTCACTTCACTAAAAAATCTTTTATAATACCTAGCTGATTTTTTTAGGGACATGATTACAACTAAACCTCGAACTAAACACAATATTCTGGGCAGCATGATCTGAAATTGTGGTGTCAATTACACAACTTGAAATATTTTCCTCTGGAACGTTTGTAAAAATATTGTCTATACAGCTTTGCGATGTTGGTGTAATTCTGATATTTTCTGATAATTGTCGGATATAAGTCGAAAGAGTTCATAACCGACAAAATTTGTGATTTAGAATTGGTTTCGTGCACGTGACGTCACTAAATTGACACTGGAGGTAAGACAACCTGACCTTACCCATTAGGCAATCCAATCCATCTGTCAAAACAGAAATTCAATATGGCGTGGCGGCCAAGCAAGTTGGTTTCAATAAGTGTTTTTATGCGTATTTTAATTATTTTGCTTCGAATTTAGCTTGAAACTTTGATTTTGATTATTTAATAAAATATTTGTTAACTAGGTACGTAAACTCTTTACATCAGGCATAAACTAGATATTTTTGTGTGTTTTTTGGCGCAGGTGTGGCCGCCACGCCATCTTGATTGTCACGTGGTTTGGATTGCCTAATTTGGTTGTATGGGAGTAGGAGACGTTGGAGTGTCATGCTTTCTTCTTTTGATATTTTCTCGGTGTTTTAGTTATATTTCTGTTTGATTCGCAGTTTAATAGTTTATAAAGACATTTATTTTCATTCATATTGTATATTCGGCGGCATTGTGTCTACATCCTACAACGGCATAATACGAGGGTATTTTGACCCTAGTCTATACTATCCTAGGAAGTGAATTATATTTCAATTAAAAACTATTTTTCAAAGGATTACGAGGGCTAGACGGCAAAATTTCAAAAATGCACAAATTTTTAGGTTATGTTACCGCCAAACCCATTGTTTGGTTTAAGAAATTCTATGTTGAAGTCACCAGCAATAAATACCTTTGTATTTTCATGAATTATTTTCACCAAAACAAGCTCCAGTTTTTTTAGGAATAATTTAATGTCACTTTTGGGGCATCTATAAATCACAGCCGCAACAAACAGTTCGTTTTCTAGATTGAATTCCACGCAAGTACATTCAAAAATACCTTCAACTGAAAGATTGTCAATTTTCCGCTTTCTTGAGAATGTTATGTCCCTATGTAGAGTCCGCGTCAAGACTAAAGAGTACGGTGTCGTCATTTGCGCACAAACCCAATTTTGAAGACTAACCGAAGTATCGTATCGATCAGTGCTGCTGCCGAACGCCAAGCACGTGGTTCATTGTCGTACGGCCAGCAGGCATATTTATTTAGTTTATTTTGTATCCAAGTTTTGTCTAAAAAGATACCCCGCTGCTGGTTTCAGCTCATGGCCGAGGTCACGGCAGACAGCGAGAGATAGACGAGGGAGAGAGATCCGACCCGCTTCGCGCAGCTTTTTATTTCGTCGCCGTAGTCTTTAGTGCTGATTTTACCTCTAAATACACCGCTACTCCTCCATATCCATTTTTTCTACAAAAGTATGATGCCAAGCTGAAGTCAGATATACTAGTTGTCTTCAGTTCATCCACCTTTCTCCAGTGTTCAGAAATGCATAAACATTTCCAGTTAGAGTGCTCTTCAAGCAAAGCTGTTATCATATCCACACAGTTGCCCAATTATTGCACATTTTGATGTATTATAGCGAAAGTATTTTTGTTTCTTTTATTTAAATTTGGATCCGATTTGGTGTGACTTATGTTTACATTTTGGTGGTAGGTTTTATTTATGCAAAATTTTCTTGTTGATTGATGGCAGTAAAATTAACATATTCCATATTCGCGCTGCTTTTCGATTTTTTGAAGAACTGCTGGACATTTGGGACCTCGGGCACTATGCATCCTGTCAGTGAGATTTAATCGTTCGCAGTTTGGACAATCTAGGGGTGTGTCACTGGAGCAAAGATTTGTTCATATTTTCCACTACATTTAAAGCAACAAGCATCACCCTTACAATATTTCGAGACGTGTCCAAAATTGCAACATTTAAAACACATTGCTGAATTTATTTGTTCTTGAATGTATACTTTTGTAAGGTCAAAAGTCAGATTATTATTTCTCATTAGCCATTTAAACACATCAGGCGTTGTTTGCAAAATCCAATTTTCCTTTCTATTGTTTCTACATTGTTTTTTTCGTGATGAACTTTTTTTTTCCACATTCTCTCCAAAAGCATTTTTCATTTGAGGGTTGTCTTGTATGAATTCCCCTCGGAATTCCCTTATGAAGCTATCAGGTTTATAGCCTGCTTCTATGCTTGTTATTGTTAACATTGGGTCACTGTTTTCCAAATATTTGGTGTAGAGTTTGTCGTGCTGTTTTAGAGTTTCTTGCAGTCTTTGTTGTTGAGTTGCATTTTAGCATACAGCTATCATTCCACCAGTTTGAAGACGTCTAATGCTTTTGAATGTTTCGTTTGTTCCCATTTGATTCAGTTTTCTCTTCACTTCTTTGAGAATGTCCATAGCATCTTTTAAGTTTTTGGCTTTTATTAAGGTTTCATAGTTTCTAGTTGTTGGAGGTGTATTCCAGACATTAATTTCTGGGTTGTTTGAATTATTATTACTATTATTTAGCTTCGTGACAGTACTATACTTTTCTACACCTTGTCCTTGATTTTCTTTGACAATAGGATGTCTCCCTATGCGACTTAAGGCAGGTGCATTATGGTTTTTTTTTTGCATTTTTTTGTTTAGTGCAGAATTTTCATTTTCTCGTTTTCCCACTTTGTATGCCAATTTTGTCACTATTTCATGCAGCTTAAAACCAGCTTTCCTCAGCTCTGATTTATCTTTCTGAGTAAAATCCTCCTTCTCGGTAAGATTATTTAAAGAACTTAAAGCATTCAGTATAGATTCTTTCATGTTATTTGTATCTTCAAAGTTAATTACCTTTGCTTGTGTGATTTCAGTTTGATTTTCAATTTCAGTTTCAGTTTCTTCTGTGGGTTTATCTGAATGTCTGGGTATTTTTGGTCTATCTGAGAAAGATGAAGAGCTTGATCCAGATCTTGTTCTTTTTGGGGAAGTTGAATTATCGCCATCATGTTTCAAATCCTTAGGGGGTGTTCTTTTTATGAATTTTTTGGGAGTGAAAATTTCGGTGTATGGTGTATTAAAATTTAAAATTGTTTCATCAATTGGATCGGTGTTTTGTTTCTTTACATTTCTCCCATTGTCTAATTTATCAGTGTTGATATTGACGGGATTAGCATTTTTTGTCTGATGTATTCCAATGATATTTTCTATATCTGTAGCGTTTAATTCGAGTTTTCCTTTTTTTTTTTTTTGAAAGTGACTTTTGATTTATTTTAGATTTTTCCATTAGGGCCGTTTTCTCCTCGGTTTTCTCCATCTTAAACAAGGCGCAAGGAGATGCGAGTCGGTATAGGAGTTCTTTAGAATATGGAATATGGTTAATGATACTACCAGATTCAATGGCGGAAACCCATTTTTCACGGCGTACATTTTCTATTTTTTGTCGTTTCTCCTGCGTCTCATAATAACGCAGGTGATTGGAGAAAAAGCTATATTTTTGATTATTCCACTCAGGTGTTAGAAATCCCATAAGACAAGTGAAGATTTTCAAAATTACAGCGAAAATTATTTTTTCCATTAGGACCATTAGTTTAACTAGAGAGAATTACAGCGATAATTTTCCCATGTTATTGTATTTATGGTTCTCATGTTAATTTTTGATACAAATAAACGGTTGCTGTTAGCAACCATTTATTTGTATCAATACAAACAAATGGATGCTGTTAGCAACCATATTTTTTCCCTATTTTTTGCATTTTCATTCGTGAAATAATTTTCTAAATATCACTCGAGCTTTAAAATGGACTGAGGGGTAGCTCACTCGATAGAATTTGTACACCTAATTACAAATACATTCAATTACATGTATTTTTTTGTAATTGAATGTATTTCTATGTAATTGAATGTATTTGTTTGTAATTGAATGTAATTGATGTAATTAGGTATAATCGAGGGTATAATTGAATGTAATTGAGTGTAATTGAATATAATTAAATGTAATTAACTTTTATTGGAAATCACGGTGGAGGATGGAGAGGGTATGTATTCACTATTCAAATCTAATTCGCAGTAATTGATTGTAATTGAATGTGATTGAATATAATTGAATGTAATTAAATAAATGTATTTGAGCGTAATTTAAACGTAATTGAATGTAATTAGGTGCAATGTGTATTTGAATGTAATTGAATTGTAATTGAATGTACCTAATTGAGTGTAATTAAATGTAATTGAACGTAATTGCAAGGTAATTGAGTTAATTGAATGTATTTTCCCAATTACATTCCAACATTTGTACAACTAATTGGGAGGTGACCTACCCCTCGAAATGGACCTGATAATTGATAATTTTGAAGCTCTCGTGGTATTATCCCCAAAAATACAAGTTTATAATTTAGATAACATCTCGGATAACATTATTCATTCAGTCTTCAAATGGCTGCTAAAACAGGCTGCTAACTTCACACTTTGTCTGCTGTAAATGCGACTGCTAGTTTCACACCGGTGTGAAGTTAGCAGCCAAAACTTGGCAGCCAAATTGACGGAAACGCCCGAACGACCAGTGGCGAAGCATTGTTTTTTAATTCAAAATAAATTCAATAAACCATACTTAGACATCAAGTCTAGCTATGTACTATTTTAATATCATCTCCAATCCCCATGCGAAATCCCATTAACTCAAACCCCGTCAAAATATGAAAAATTACCCTTAACAAGTAAAATGCATAAATATTGATATTTTCGTATTTTTTTCCAACTCGGACTTCGAGTCTTACCATGAAATTAATAGAGTACTCTCTCAGCACCATATCCAACCCCCATGCAAAATTCCATTAACTCAAACCCCGTCGAAATATGAAAAACTACCCTTAACAAGTGAAAATGCATAAATATTTATATTTTCGTATTTTTTTCTAACTTGAACTTTGAGTCTTGCCATGAAATTGATAGGGTACTCTTTCAGCACCATATCCAATCCCCATGCAAAATCCCATCAACTCAAACCCCGTCGAAATATGAAAAACTACCCTTAACAAGTAAAAATGCATAAATATTGATATTTTCGTATTTTTTCCAACTCGGACTTCGAGTCTTGCCATGAAATTAATAGGGTACTATTTCAGCACCATCTCCAACCCCCCCGCAAAATCCCATGAACTCAAACCCCGTCGAAATATGAAAGCTACCCTTAACAAGTAAAAATGCATAAATATTGATATTTTCGTATTTTTTCCAACTCAGACTTCGAGTCTTGCCATGAAATTGATAGGGTACTGTCTCAGTACCATATCCAACCCCCATGCAAAATCCCATTAACTCAAACCCCGTCCAAATATGAAAAACTACCCTTAACAAGTAAAAATGCATAAATATTGATATTTTCGTATTTTTTCCAACTCGGACTTCGAGTCTTGCCATGAAATTAATAGGGTACTATTTTAGCACTATCTCCAACCCCCATGCAAAATCCCATGAACTCAAACCCCGTCGAAATATGAAAAACTACCCTTAACAAGTAAAAATGAACAAATATTGATATTTTCGTATTTTTTCCAACTCGGACTTCGAATCTTGCCATGAAATTAATAAGGTACTATTTCAGTACCATCTCCAACCCCCATGCAAAATCCCATCAACTCAAACCCCGTCAAAATATGAAAAACTACCCTTAACAAGTAAAAATGCATAAATATTGATATTTTCGCATTTTTTCCAACTCGGACTTCGAGTCTTGCCATGAAATTAATAGAGTACTCTCTCAGTACCATATCCAACCCCCATGCAAAATCTCATTAACTCAAACCCCGTCGAAATATGAAAAACTACCCTTAACAAGTGAAAATGCATAAGTATTGAGATTTTCGTATTTTTTCCAACGCGGACTTCGAGTCTTGCCATGAAATTAATAGGGTACTATTTCAGCACCATCTCCAACCCCTATGCAAAATCCCATCAACTCAAACCCCGTCGAAATATGAAAAACTAAGCTTAATAAGTAAAAATGCATAAATATTGAGATTTTCGTATTTTTTCCAACTCGGACTTCGAGTCTTGCCATGAAATTAATAGGGTACTCTCTCAGCATCATATCCAACCCCCATGCAAAATCCCATTAACTCAAACCCCGTCGAAATATGAAAAATTACCCTTAACAAGTAAAAATGCATGAATATTGATATTTTCGTATTTTTTCCGACTCGGACTTCGAGTCTTGCCATGAAATGAATAGGGTACTATTTCAGCACCATCTCCAACCCCCATGCAAAATCCCATCAACTCAAACCCCGTCAAAATATGAAAAACTAACCTTAACAAGTAAAAATGCATAAATATTGATATTTTCGTATTTTTCCCAACTCGCACTTCGAATCTTGCCATGAAAATAATATGTTACTATTTCCGCACCATCTCCAACCCCCATGCAAAATCCCATCCACTCAAACCCCGTCAAAATATGAAAAACTACCCTTAACAAGTAAAAATGCATAAATATTGATATTTTCGTATTTTTTCCAACGCAGACTTCGAGTTTTGCCATGAAATTGATAGGGTACTGTCTCAGTACCATATCCAACCCCCATGCAAAATCCCATTAACTCAAACCCCGTCCAAATATGAAAAACTACCCTTAACAAGTAAAAATGCATAAATATTGATATTTTCGTATTTTTTCCAACTCGGACTTCGACTCTTGCCATGAAATTAATAGGGTACTCTCTCAACACCATATCCAACCCCCATGCAAAATCCCATTAACTCAAACCCCGTCGAAATATGAAAAACAACCCTTAACAAGTAAAATGCATAAATATTGAGATTTCCGTATTTTTTCCAACTCGGACTTCGAGTCTTGCCATGACATTAATAGGGTACTATTTCAGCACCATCTCCAACCCCCATTCAAAATCCCATCAACTCAAACCCCGTCGAAATATGAAAAACTACCCTTAACAAGTGAAAATGCATAAATATTGATATTTTCGTATTTTTTCCAACTCGGACTTCGAGTCTTGCCATGAAATTAATAGGGTACTATTTTAGCACCATCTCCAACTCCCATGCAAAATCCCATGAACTCAAACCCCGTCGAAATATGAAAAACTACCCTTAACAAATAAAAATGCATAAATATTGATATTATCGTATTTTTTCCAACTCGGACTTCGAGTCTTGCCATGAAATTAATAGGGTACTATTTTAGCACCATCTCCAACCACCATGCAAAATGCCATAAACTCAAACCCCGTCGAAATATGAAAAACTACCCTTAACAAGTAAAAATGCATAAATTTTGAGATTTTCGTATTTTTTCCAACTCGGACTTCGAGTCTTGCCATGAAATTAATAGGGTACTATTTCAGCACCATCTCAAACCCCCATGCAAAATCCCATCCACTCAAACCCCGTCAAAATATGAAAAACTACCCTTAACAAGTAAAAATGCATCAATATTTATATTTTCGTATTTTTTTCCAACTCGGACTTCGAGTCTTGCCATGAAATTAATAGGGTAATATTTTAGCACCATCTCCAACCACCAGGCAAAATCCCATCAACTCAAACCCCGTCGAAATATGAAAAACTACCCTTAACAAGTAAAAATGCATAAATTTTGAGATTTTCGTATTTTTTTCCAACTCGGACTTCGAGTCTTGCCATGAAATTAATAGGGTACTCTCTCAGCACCATATCCAACCCCCATGCAAAATCCCATTAACTCAAACCCCGTCGAAATATGAAAAACTACCCTTAACAAGTGAAAATGCATAAATAATGAGATTTTCATATTTTTTTCCAACTCGGACTTCGAGTCTTGGCCATGAAATTAATAGGGTACTCTCTCAACACCATCTCAAACCCCCATGCAAAATCCCATCCACTCAAACCCCGTCAAAATATGAAAAACTACCCTTAACAAGTAAAAATGCATAAATATTGATATTTTCGTATTTTTTCCAACTCGGACTTCGAGTCTTGCCATGAAATTAATAGGGTACTATTTTAGCACTATCTCCAACCTCCATGCAAAATCCCATGAACTCAAACCCCGTCGAAATATGAAAAACTACCCTTAACAAGTGAAAATGCATAAATATTGAGATTTTCGTATTTTTTCCAACTCGGACTTCGAGTCTTGCCATGAAATTGATAGGGTACTCTCTCAGTACCATATCCAACCCCCATGCAAAATCCCATTAACTCAAACCCCGTCAAAATATGAAAAACTACCCTTAAC